CTGGCAAAAGGTCCAATCCTGGCTTGGGCAGGCTAAAAAAGAAACGTCCAATACTAAGAACTAAACCAAATCCACTATCGTCGAATCTATTTCCACTATCATCGAACCTATTCCAACTCATTAAAACCCTATGTAGGATCTACAAGTTTGTAAATCTTCACAAGAACAGACAACCTCATCTTTATCCTATGGAGTGGCTGGTGGTTTTGATCCGCCAACATGGTGGTGAGCAGTACAATGCTTATCTGAGTGCACCACCAGGATTCCTAACACTAAGACAGGGAGGTTTAAAATAAATACAGAAATAAAGTGCTATGGCAAAATCCAAACCACATCCATGGTTACCAATAGCTGAGTATTTAATTTTATATATCATTATACCTTAATTTTATATCCCATCAATGCATTTCAAGAAAAAATTGGCAGATTAGCATTATAAGGAATTACATAAGTGTGATACTAATATAAATCTAAAAGCAAAGGTTTTACAAAGAATTATTTTTAAATAAACTCATGATCAGAAATTAATATGAGAATACAGTTAGAAAAATAATTTAACCAATTTGCTTTATATGTTTAAATAACTGGATACATTTTTAAGTGTGTATTTGGATATTATTTGTTTCCTTTTGAAAATGTCTCTCTATTGCTGATGTTTGTCTATCACAGCAACATCACTTCGACCAAAATTCCACCTGAAAGCCTCGGGCCCTCAATATGATAGAAGCAGGACCTCAAAGGAAAATCTGCTCACAGAGGTTATAGGACAGTCAAACTGAACATTGGTCCTATGTTCACAGTGTCATTTCTTAGACCTGCTTTGTTCTGATCTTTTCTTCAATTTTCATCTCTACTGTTGAACATAGTGTCTTATCTCACTTGGAAAAAAATGTCAATGGAACTATAATACTAATGATCAATGTTGTGGCTTCTGCTCCTTATTAGATAAATCACGCTAAGGTGTTAATATGTTCATTCCTCTGTAGACTATGGAGCTCATGGTCCTGTGCAGGCATCATTCTCATTTACTTTCTGACTCCCTCAAAGACTACCTATCTCCCAAAACAACTTCACTATTTGGCTTTCTCTTAGTGGTAGCTATTTACTACTTGACTAGCTTTCAACAGCCTTTATCTAAGAAAACAGTAAGTTTCTCGTCCTTGAAATTTAGAGTACTACAATCAAGTAGCTAAGCCTTTGAAGGCAGGGACAATATCAACTTTGCACATCGTCCATGATTCTACTGTCTAGCATATTTTCAAAGATGTCATACTTATGGATTTCATGTATACCAATAACTGAATACATGCATGAAGATCTCAGACTGCACAATATATTCATATGCACTCGTAGAGCATGTAAAGGCGCAATGAAAGGTGACAGCATAATAAAATAAAATAACTACAGTGTAGGAAGGAAAAGTTATGATATTTTCAACACAATGAAAGCTATAGGTGTTACCATAAAGGACTGCGAGAACATAGCAACACTACTAGTATTATATAACGGAGAGCAGCCAGATTCTTTTTTTGGGAGAACTAAACTCATCCTCTTTTACAAACTAAAAATATTCCTCAGACTCTTTCCATTAGCTCTAAAACATTCAATGTACTACTCTCACCCTTTTTCATTAATGTGCACTACCTACACAGCTTGTACACTTAGACATGACATGTTGTCAGAAGAGACCAGTCCCTGGAGAAGGGCACCGCGCTTGATAAAGGGGGCAGTGAACGAGAGGAAGGCCCTCCAAGAACGGGACGGACACCGCGGCTGCAGCAACGGGCTCAGGCACAGGGACGACTGAGAGGTGGCGCAGGACCGGGCAGGGTTTCCTTCTGTTGTGCACAGGGTCCTTCTGGGTGGGAACAGACTCAACGATGCCTAACAACAACATATCGCTTACTAAGGACCCATGGTGGCTACATCAAGTTACGTATTGGACTGCTAGCTGCATGGTCAGCAGTTCAAACCCACAAGCAATTCCAAAAGACAAAGATGAGGCTCCCCTGTGTTTGCTCCGTTGTAAAGATGTACAGCCTCAGAAAGCCTATATAGGGTTACGATGAATTGGAATCAACTCCATGGCAGTGGGCTTGGCTTTAGGTAGGTTTAAAGTGTTATTACCGTCTCTGGGACCCAACACAATAGCAACAACAAAAAACACTAGCAAGATTATCTGTTATGTATGTCACTATTTCTGCCATTGGTAAACACACAAAACAGGTGAGAACTTTACCAATTAAGGTATTTGATCACATTTGACAGCACAGGGAGCTTTGGTACACACTCAAAAACCCAAACACTGCCATCGGGTGATGCAGACGCATAGCCACCCTGTAACAACCCTATCGGAAAGGGTCTAACTGGCCCTGAGATTCAGAGACTGTTACATATTTATGAGAGTAGAAAGCCCGCGAGTCTTTTAAAAGTAATAAACCACCCACTCACCTGCAGACTTGATGACCAAGTTTGCACATGTATTACCATTATTGGGACAAAAAGTTTGTAAAAGAATAAGGTCTACCACAAAGCACCTATATGTCGGGCATCCTTGCAGTGGGGTCTATGCTACCAATAAGAGTGCTGTGCTGCGTAGGCAATACAGAGTGTGCAGAATGGGTCTCACACCACAGTTTGGATGTCAGCATCTCAGTGGATCACGGCACTGCACTACAAATAAGGAGAGGAATATACTAACCAGAATACTACCATAAGAAAAATACTTTTTTAATGCAAATAATGATCATATTAGTAACTTTAAATACTGGGTAACACAAAAGTCACTTTCTTTATCCACTGGATATAATCAAAAGCTCTATATTAAACATGGTTATTTAGTAAAAAATTTTCCCGAGTAAATGTCTAAATGGTGTTTTAAAATTTTCACACCAGTTTGTCCTCCATAATCAGTATTAACAAATCTAAAAATCTACTTTGAACGGCACACTTACCACACTGACTGAATTTCTCTTTTAGCTTCTGCCAAGTCAAGTCAAAGGGAAGCTAAAATAAAAAGTAGTATTAGTAACAGATCTACAAAAGGGAGAGAGAATTTTAAGTATCCTCTATATATACATACATACATACATATATATATATTTGCTTACATTTCTGACAAAGATCTGGTTGCCTTTGGAGCCTATTCTCTCTCTCATTCCGCTTCCCATTGGACCTGATAAAAATCCACGATCCATATCGATGCTCCTTTCCAAAACAGCGCCAATACCTGGTCCCATTCTGTCGAAGCTCGAGCTCATCCGGTCCAGTCCCATACCCACTCCTCCAGTCATACTGTTCACGCCACCCAGTCCACCACCTGGATTTTCAGAGAAGGGAGGGAGGAATTGAAAATCCAGTGATTTTGTCTCA